TTGATAATGTTCTGCCCTTCTTTGTTAGAAGAAAAGTTGCATTTACCTAACTGTAAGCTTCTTGTATATCTTAAATATAGGGCAAGGATAAAACCACTGAGGAGAGAAGAATTGCCATTTGCATTTTTGATGATGTTGCAGAGCAATGTCGTGAAGCAGCTCTTAAGTAAGTTTATTTCTTTTATTCTTTCTGTTTGATGATTATACCTCGCATAAGATATTGGTCCTTACTTTTTCATATTCTGGTTTGCAACAGATATTATGACACATTTGTTCCATTCCTGTTAGAAGCATGCAATGATGCAAATCCAGATGTTCGACAGGTCCCCATCACAAAACATCAGTGCCACGAACTACCCACCACCACTTGTCATCCATGACCCTGTGCGTCTTTCTTCTCGTGTAGTTTCTAATAATTTGTTTATTTATTTTTTCAGGCTGCCGTTTATGGAATTGGTGTATGTGCTGAATTTGGCGGTTCAGTGTTTCGACCTCTTGTCGGAGGTACCTCATTTTAAAAAATGTTTTGAAATTAACTTGTGCTCGCTGTTCTGATATGCTTTAACTATAATTTATGATTAATTTTCCTGTTTTAATTTATTATTTTTCACATCTAAAACTTTTTATTATATTCCACCTTTTAAACTTTTTATTATTTTCCTTCTCTTACAGAGGCCTTATCCAGGTTAAACAATGTGATAAGGCAGCCTGATGCACAAAATGCGGACAATATAATGGCATATGACAATGCTGTTTCAGCTCTAGGGAAGATATGCCTATTCCATCGTGATGGCATTGATGCCTCTCAGGTATCCCATAATTTAAGCAGGTTTAAATAGTTTCTATCTAGTTATATTGGATTAAGGCAATATTGCTTTAATAAAACTAGTAGCTCCACAAATTACTTTTCTACGAAACACAAAGTTGTTAAATTAGATAAAATTAAAGAATATAAGCTGGATTTGTGTTTGAAAAGTAAATAAAAATGCACTGATCATTTATTTGTTTTGATGGCTGAGGTCCTCAACAGGTGGATGCATTGCTATGAATAATTCAATTTTTCAGGAAATAAACAGTTTGAAGTTACTGGACCAAAAACATTATTATGACTGGTGTTTTTTTTTTTTTTTTTTGGCTGACACTTGGTCCAGTGTGCTGGTTCTAAATCTCTCTCTTTCTTATCTCGGCTCTTTCACTGCTTTGTTAAGCTTACCCTTGTTTTAGCCATTTCTAATCCCTCACAACCAACCCTGTGTATACTGCGGGTCTGTGATCTGCTAATATTTATTGATTTCTTCTCCATCTCATTCATGGGTGTCTGGCAATGATGATTTTGTTACATCTGAAATGGAACTTCAGTTCTGGGTACATCTTTTATTTTGCTTCTTGTGCATGACATATATTAAGAAGTCCACTATTTTGCACTTGATATAATTATCATGCAGCATTCTGCATTGCTTTTGACTGTTTGTATAAATACTTGTGAAGAGTGAGTGTTTTAGTGTAATCTTGACAGGACCCATTTGCTTGGTTTATTAGCATTTAGTAATGCTGCTCCATTAGTTATTTTAGTTCCTTGAGTCTTTCTCTCATAGTATGTAGATATTACCTGTTTTACTGTACACAACTTTTTATTGTGACTTCTTTGTTAATTATGGAAGCATCTCTAGTATTTTTCAAGTCGGGTTGTGTGATATGTTTACTGGAAAAAGTTGAACTAATTTATAATTAGTCATGTTATACCCATGTCATTTTTCATATTTCATTTTTTTTGTAGTAAGTGATCTATCCCGTTATGTTAAGTATATTATGTCTTAGATTAAATACAACAGCTATCTGTACGATTCAGTTAACATTAACTTATTTGCTCTATATTTCTTCATTCTTGGCAGATTATTCCGGCTTGGTTAAGCTGCTTGCCAATAAAAAATGATCTGATTGAGGCCAAAATTGTACATGAGCAGCTATGTTTCATGGTTGAAAGGTGATTCACTTTGCGTACATGTTGTATTTATGTAATGAAGATCGATTGGAGACCAATAAAGTTACTCTTGTGAAACTTATGTGTACATCTAAACACTGAACTACTGTTTGTTCCCCAGGTCGGACAGAGAGTTGTTGGGACCCAATAACCAGTTCCTTCCTAAAATCCTTTCCGTGTTCGCTGAGGTGATTTAACTTCTCATTCATGTCACTGAGCATAGAATCATCGATTATTTCTCAATTAGCTATTAATTGCTTATTGGTTTCTACACCTTGGTTTCACGTGGATTTTTCAAATTTAAATATTTCCTACTCTGTACTTCCTTTTTCTTTTTCACCCTGGTCACCATGATTGAGCCCCAATAGCGCCACTACACACTTCACCATGGTTGCCTATTTCCAGCTATGCAATACTTTGGGGGGTTGGGCGTGGGGTTGGGGGAATCTATAAAGGATTTTCTGTAAAAAAACCTAGGAAGGTACAAATAGAAAATCAGAGTGACCAGAGGATCGATGATTGCATTGGCTTCAGCATTTCCTATATGATTTTCTGTAAAGGGTGGATTTTTTCTCTCCCAATTCTTTGGTATAACCTCTGAATTCTTTTGGTTTTTTTCGCTTCAGGTGTTCTGTGCAGGCAAAGATCTAGCCACAGAACAAACTGCCAGCAGGATGATCAATCTATTGATGAGGCAGCTTCAGCAGACAATGCCACCTGCTGTGCTGGCTTCGACATTGTCATCTTTGCAGCCTCAGCAGCAGCTTGCATTGCAATCGGTAATGTCATCGTAAATATCAATCTTTTTTGGTGCATTGTCATGGGGATCTTCCCAGTTTGCCTGTTTTCATCTTTTATGTTTCCCATTCTTTATGCTCACTTTGTTCTGAGTGGATTTTTGTGGTTGATGATTGCATCCCTCCGTCGATTATCACGAGTGGGAACTTCTTGGTTAATTGTCTTTGGGTGTAGACAGTGTATAGTATTAAAGGGGTCAAATTCATATCATCTGTTGTATTATCTCCTTCACCCAAGGGAAATAGGTGAAAAAAGAGAAAAAAAGAAAAACTTGCCGCATGTTGGCATTTGAGAGTTTTGTTATAATTTTTTTTAATGCGAGTGATCGGTTGAGAGAGTGTAAGGAATGCTTTTCTTGTCTCATTTTTGGTGCTTGATGTCCTTTTTGGCCCCCTATTCAAACTTCAAAGTAAAGAGATTTGTTTATTTGTCTTGGTTCTTAGCTCTGTTTTGCTGCCTTTTGACTTCATTAGTTCTGTACTTTTGTAACTGTGAAATGCCTGATTAAATTTAGCTCCTCTTCTCCCAGTTGGGCAACTCGCCCCCAACTCTCAGTCACTTGCCTTTTCTTATACGGCTGTGCTATTTGACTCGCGAGTTGCCCAACTCGCGAGTCAAAAAGCATTTTCGATCTTTTTTTTTTATGTTGATGTTAACTATTGATTTTTTTCTGTACGTTGTTTCTATTAAAAGTTTTGTAAAAATGATTTTGCATTTCTAAGCAGCACGTTCTTCTTGTTCAGACCAGGAAAAATCAGCGTGGGGGTTACGTTATATATGTATTGTTATTGTACTTCTGATAAAAGCTTCACTTTGATGTTAGCCAGTGACGTAATATCTCGTTGGGTGGCACTAGGGGCACACCCCCAACCACTACTCCAACCATATCCCTTTTCTAATTTGCTACAGTGTATCGGGTCCCACATGAGATTTTAAAAAGTTAAAATCCCATGCAGGGTTTGATGTACTGTAGCAAATGAGAAAGGGGGTGTGGTTGGAGTTGTGGTTGGGGGTGTGCTTCTATCATTTTCCTATCTCGTTACATGAAAACCCCTTGTTCCCTGCAACTGAAGATCTGCATCAAGCGGTCGCTTCTACTGTAAGATGCAAGTATTTAAATAGTGTCACCTCTCACGGTGAGAATATATTAATAACTCTATTAGTTATTCGAGTCTGCATTTTGGAACTTTATATAAGATACACCTACAAGCAAGTTGCGCTGCATCCATATTAAATGACCAACTTGGATCCGGCCCCGCCAAAAACAATATCAATCACCCGTTAATCTATATCTAATCTATACCACTATAAAATGAGGATTAGGGTGTTCAAACTTTTAATTTTCATTCTCTCTAATTAATTTTTATTAAATAAATATAACAACTTATCAATTATGCGCCTCCTCACTTTTTTAAATAATTATAATTATCAATAATATTATAACTATTAGTTGTTTAATAATAATATAATATAATAATTTATAAAATGAGTATACGCAATTGTTAATATATATGACTAAATACCAATAAGAAGTATGCTATAATTCAATGAGCAATAAAATAAATAGAATAGATATTTAATATCATAAATAGTGTAATTATTTTAATAATATCACATAAATTATGAATTACTCTATTTATTTAGTATTATATTATTAAATAAAATAAATAAATAATTTAATATTATTTTTATAATATTTTCTTAATGATTATTACATGATACTGAATAATCTATACTTAGTAATGATTGAAAACAAGCAATTTAAAAAAAATATATTCAATATTAATAACAGTATTATTAATTGTTAATGAGAGTATAATAAAAAAGTATAAAGTATTTACAATACTAAATTATTTAAGAGCATAATTAAAAAAAAATTAAATTAGATAAATATTTTATAATATATAGATAGTATAATTATTTAAATAGTATTACTCAAACTAAGAATTATATTATTAAATAAGGTACATTACAGTAAACCCTAATAAACTTTCAGTATTTTACAGTAAGTAGACTCTATGAACTTTTAAAATTTCCTAATAACTTTTGCAGAAAGCCCTTAATATCTTTTAGATAAATTACGCCACACCCCCAATAACTTTCAAAATACATTTTACTTCATTTTTTGGCTGTAATTTATAGGGATTATATGGAAAATTTAGAAAATTAATGGGGGTTTTCTTTGAAATAGAAAAGTTATTAGGACTTTAGTGTGATTTTGAAAGATCATAGGGGCAGAAAGTTCATAAGGGTTTAGTGTAATTTACCCTATTAAATAATTATAATGAGAAGTAACTATCGCAAAGTGTTGTAGGTAAATTAAGTGTAATTTTGTAGGGAACATCAGGAAAAATCTAGCAAGGTTAATGCAGCTTTGTTAATTTAGATTTAAGTTAACAACTTTCAAGTTAGAGGGGGCATACTTAAGAGAACTTATAGATTTGATAGACTTATTTAAGAACAATTGTAGATGTGGCAGACTTGTTTTAAAAAAAGTTAGCATTGGGCAACCATTATAAGAAAAACATTCAATTATAATAACTACACAATAATAATTTATTCGTACATTTTTTAAACAATCTTATTGTACAATTTTATTTATTAACACATACTTTCACTATTTAATAAAAAAAATTCAAAACTTAAAACATTTATGTTCACGTACAATACGCACGTACATTGTACTAGCTATGATAAATATTTATTATAATTAGCATAGCTGAATGGACACAACGGATGATTAGAGAGCCTAACATGAGGATGAAACGAGCATACTTTTTTTGTGCCCATGTTTTTCTCCTGTCCTCCTTTTAATTACCTTGCTTCTACATATTGTTATGAGAGGCACTAGGGCATACCCTCTACCACACCTCCAATCATACCATCTCTCTCGCTACAGTACACCGGACCCACATGAGATTTTATTAAAATAAAATCTCATGTGGGCCCGGTGTACTGTAGCGAGAGAGATGATGTGGCTGGAGGTGTGGTAGAGGGTGTGACCCTATCATTTCTATATTGTTATACTTCCATGTTTCTCTGCTAGTGTGGTTTTTGTTTCTCATTTGCTGGGGGACCCGGGGACCTTCCTACCAATTTCCAAATCTTTAATTTCTAAAAATTCTTTTTTCTAATCTTGTGGCTATTGTCAGATTAACTAGTTCCTGACTTCAAATTTATAGTTTTATTATCATGTGATTTCTTCGCCTGCGAACTCAA